TACCCCTAAATCCTCAGGTGTTATTTATAACAAGTATCTTTAGGCTTTGTTCCTTTCTTTATTCCTACCACTGGTTGTGCCTTTTATCTTTGCATCTTATTAGGATCAATTTAGTAATAATTTTTAGAAGAAATTATTTTAATGTTTTCTCCCTCTAATATATGTTTTTTGTCTTATGAAATTTCATCTCATTGCTATTTCTTTTCCTATTTTCTTCAGCTTTAATTGGTGTGCTTTTCTTTTTGAGACAGAATCTTGCTAAGTAGCTTGGGCTGGTCTAGAACTTGCTATATTATATAAGAAAGCTCAGGTTGGCCTTGAACTATAATCGTTTAGTCTTTTCCTCTTCCTCTTATTTTTCTAATTTCTTGAGATGGATAGGGAATTCATCAAAGTGTATGATGGGTGATGGGTAATAGATTTCTCTCTAAATTGGATTTAGCTGCATCCTACAAGCTTTAATAAATTGTTACTTTGTTGTCGAGTTTAAGAAATTTTGTAATTTTCATTTGAGGTGTTCTTTTTGACCTGAGTTATGTATACAAATACTTGTCTTTTCAGACATGGAGATTTTTTCAGTCAGTACTTACTTGAACTCAAAATCTTACTGTTCACCAAATATTGAATACACTTGCTTTCTGTTTGTTGTATTGTTACTTTACTTTGTGATAGATACATTGATTATGATCTGGATTTTAGCTAACTTGCTGTGTGGCTAACAAGTGCATTTTTTCTAAGTCATGATCAAAGATACTGTATGTTTTTTGAAAATGTTTTATTATAATTTAAATATGTATTTGATAGACCAGGTGCTGGTGACTCAGGAGGCTGGTCAGGATTGCAGTTTGAAGCCAACCCATGTAGGAAAGACCGTGAGACTCTTATTTCCAATTAACCACCAAAAAGCTGGAAGAGGAACTATGGCTCAAGTGGTAGAACACTAGCATTGAGCTTAAAATCTCTGAGCTAGATGGGTGCTGATGGCTCAAGCTTTTAATCCTAGCTACCCAGGAGGCTGAGATGTGAGAGTTGTGATTTGAAGCCAGGCTAGGTGGAGCTGTGGCTCAAAGATAGTACCCAGGCCTTGACTTCAGCACCTTGTACTGGCACAAACAAATAAAAAAGAAAGTTCTGGGATAATGCCCAAGTTGTGAATTCAAGCCTCAGGAGGACTGGCACCTCTGTGTGTGTGTGTGTGTGTGTGCGCGCGTGCGCGCGAATGTGTAAGCGCGCGCGTGCATCTGACAGTACTGTAGTTATTTCTGTAAACATAAGTTAATTTTGAACTATTTATCTTTAACAAAAATTCCATTTCTCTTGTATTTTAATTTGAAATAGCTAGATTAGAATGTGGCTAAAGTGGTAGAACATCTGCCTAGAAAGCCCAATGCTCTGAGTTAATATCCCAATATCACCATAATAATAATAATAATAATAAATGATGATGATGTATTAGTATCAGTCGATTAAATTTCCCTTGAAGGAAATATACTATATTTGGTGAGTGAAATTTATTGAAATAGAGTTTATTACTTGACAGATACCTACTTTGAGGTAGAGTTTTCTAGAACAATGAGCTTTCTTTCCAGTATACATATTAATATTATCATTTGGAAAATCAAAAGCATAGTAAGCATTAGTTTTCTCGCCTCGTTTCTCCTTCAAAAGTTGTAGATTTTCTTCCAGTAGTACCCTTTCTTTTTATCACTTTTCTCCCATAATGTTCCTTTTAGTAGCCATTTTAATAGTTTAATAGTTGCAAGCAAAAACTTTAGAGGTTGTTAAACATTTTCATAAATGCTGTGGGAAATGTTCAACTACATTAAAAGCAAAATAGTTACCTTGCTTTAAATGAGTCAGGATTTCTATTTTAAAATATATGTGTAAATATGTCTATCAGTGCTGAATTAATGGTGTACTCTGGGGATTTAAAATGTGTGATTGCTATATTGTGTGCAAGTATCCTGTCTTGGTAAAATGCTGCCTTTTACACATATAAACACACATATATATACACACACACAATTTGGCAAAATAATTTTTGAAAGGTAAAGGCATTAAAAACATTTAAAATTATAATTTATGTTCTCAAAGTATCTTACATTTAGCAGGCCTTTAAATTATGGTACATATTTAAACCTACTCAAATGAACATAGTAATAGAATACGTGGTAAGGAATAATAGTTGAGTGAATAAGAAGGAACAGTATTTTTGAAGTAAAAAAAAATATATTATTTAACTGGTACCTTTAAGAATTGCTTAGGAAATGTGGTTATTAGATACGCAGAAAGGGGGCACACTAAATAGAATATTGGCAGGCTTCCTGAAATTCATATGCATAGTAGTTAGAGGCATATTGAGTTTTAAATGTCAGCCAACTTTTCTCTTCCTTTTCTAGCATCTATTTGTATGAACTGTGACTATTCTTACTTCTTAAGGGAGTTAGTTTATGAAGCTTTCTGTGAACATTTTTAATAGAGGAAATAGATTACCACTGCTATATATATATATATATATATATATATATATATAGCAGTGGTAATTTATATATATATATATAAAACAGTAAAATTTTGATACCAGCAGTGGTTAAAAGTTTTGTTAGAATAATTTCTTATTTGTCAAATGTTGACTAAGAAAGCTTTCATTTCATTGTTGAATTTTGGGATTGTTTCCTACTCTTAGTCATATTTGCAAGCTTCAACAGTATATTAAATGTTTCACTATAAGTCATTATTTACATTATAAATGTAAAAAGAGCTTTGCTAAGTTGGTTTAATTGAATAATGTTCATCTATTAACATAATGTTAGTGGCCCTTAAAGTGAGCTTTCAAGGTATTTAATAGAGTAGCTAGACCAGAGGATGTTTGCAGAAGATCTACCTTATTTCATAGATTCTTAAGTTGCTTTGAGAGTGTGCTTTCTTGATTCTACTCATATAAGTTTATGGAGGATAATCACACAAGTATCTCACAACTAATACTTGTTGATAAAAATAGTAAGAAAGCATGAGTACCAAAAGCATCCCAATTTCAGAGAAGTTAATTTATAAATAATTATACATCTTAGAATTGTTAAAGTAGGAGTTTGAAGTTACTGATTGAATCTTACAAGATGTTTATGATGACTGAAGTGTTCTCATTTTTTATGGTTAGGTTAATATGACATACTAAGAGTAACACAAGACTGTCTTCACATAGTCGGCACCACAACCACTTACCTGTCTACACATTCTACAAACATAGTTCTAAAGGTGGCATTTCTTCATTCAATGCAGGCCAAAATAATGTACCTTTTAAATGCACATGCCTATAATCCAAGTATTTGAAAGACTGAGACAGGAAGATCATGAATTCAAGTCCAGTTTGGACCATATAGTAAGATTTTGTCTTAAAAAAAGTAATAGACTTATTAGAATTAAAAATAGGAAGGAAGGAATGATGTAGGAAAGTGACCTTTAAAAAAAAAATTACCTTAGCTGGCTGCCAGTGTCTCATGCCTGTAATCTTAGCTACTTAGGAGTGTGACATTCTTAGCTCCAATTAACTATCAAAAAAAAAAGCCAGAAGTGGAACTGTGACTCAAGCGCTAGCCTTGAATAAAACAAAACAATAACATCAAAAAAACCTCAGGGACAGCACCTAGGCCCTGAATTCAACACCAAGAATATATAATTTTAATCTTCTATATGGTTTGATCTTTATTTCATGTGCATTTATTGTGGGTTTTTTGTTTTTGAAGCCCTAGAACCAATACCAAGAATAAATAATTTTAATCTTCTATATGGTTTGATCTTACTTCATGTGCATTTATTGTGGGTTTTTTGTTTTTGTCAGTAGTGGGGCTTGAACTCAGGGCCTGGGCACTATCCGTGAGCTCTTTCACTTAAGGCTAGTGTCTTGAGTATAGTGCCACCTGGTTTTCTAGTGGTTAATTTGAGATAAGTGTCTCATAGATTTTCCTGCCTGGGCTGGCTTTTAACCACCATCCTCAGACCTCATCCTCCTGAGTAGCTAGGAGTACAGGCTTGAGCCACCAGTGCCTGGCCCATTTATTGTTTTATAAGTAGTAAGCATATCCTTTAAAAGTTTGGCTCTAAATTGCCTACAAAATAAAGTGTACAGTATGATATTTGAAATTCTTCATAAGTGATTTGAAACTTTCTTTGGATCTCATCTTCAACTGAATTGTTTCTTACTTCAGACATTCTTGTCTCAAATTCTTTATGTCCTCAGGACTTTGTTGAAATTTATCCTTATGCTACCTACTCTTCCCAGCTAAGTCTAAATCCCCTCTGTTCAAACTCTTAACAGATCCTTGCATAGTAAGTACTTCTTAACTAACTGTCTAATGGCAAGTAGATTCTATTATACACTAACTAGAAAATACTTTTGCTAGGCTTATTTATTTGTCAGGTTTTTCTATTAGATTTTAGGACTGAATAATTTAGGCTTATATTATTATTTCCTGTAGTGCGTAATATGATATAGAGTATTTCTTCAGTTAAAAATTTTGATATATACAGTACTTCTTTTCCATAGATACTATATAGTAATTCTGTTAGAATTGATAGTATGTTGGAGTGTAGAACAATCTTAAGTTTTCATTCTTAAGAATTTATTCAATATTCTTTGGTTATTATACCATAATTCAAAAGACAGTAATAATTACATGGAGCCAAGTGAGGAGGTATATGACTGTAATCCCATGTACTTAAGAGGTTAAGGCAGGAGAAGAACAATTTCAAGGTCAGCTTGGGCTACATAGTGAGACTTTATCTCAAAATGAAAAAATTTTAAAGGGATGTTGATTTAAAAAAACATCGAGTACTTGGCATTGCATGCATAAGGCCAGAATTCTCAATACTGTGGGTAGGGAGAAGAGAATAATTACATAGGTATTCAAATTTTTACAGTATCTATTATAGAATTTTTAATTATAGCTTTATAGTAAAAGTATAGTATTTTATAAAAATGCCTTTTTTTCCCTCCTATATAGGTTACTTCCTCAGAATGTTGGCCTTCTCTATGTTGGAGGTTATGAAAGACCATTTGCTCAAATCAAGGTATGATTGTTCATTTTAATGTATTTCTACTAAGCACTCATTGGTCCAGAAACTACCAGAAACTTGCTAATAACTATCAGCATATCAAAAATACAGTGGCTTTGAAATAATAATTTTATTGACTTTTTCATATTTCTGTTGAAGAGGTCATTCGACTTTTCAACTCCAGAAAAAAAACTGTTTTCATATTCTTGCCTATACAAAGTTGACTTTGACCAAAGCAAAGTAGTGATTAATTTTTTCAGTACATTTAGACTTATGTAGATTTATCTTTCAGGTCATCATTTTTGCCATTAAAACTTTATTGGGAGTATAGCTTACATATAGAAAGCTATACATGAAATGTACAATTTGATAAATTTTGGCATGTGTACACTAATGCAAATCACAGTAATGAAGAAAAGAAGCGTATGTATCACTGTATAATAGTTATTTGTGCTCCTCGAAATTACCCTTCTTGCCTCTTATGTTTTCCTTCTAGTGCCCTAAACTGATTTGTGCTATTAACTATGATTTTGCCTCATTAGTATTTACATAAATGGAATCATGCAGTTTCCCCATTCCTCTTTTCTTCCCCCTTTTCACTCAATATAATTTTTTGAGCTACATCTGCGTTCTTGCACTTACCATGAGTTTATTCTTTTTTATTGCTGAGTAATATCCCATCATATGGCTATAACATAATGTATTTGCTCTTTCACCTGTAGATAAGATGTGGGTTGTTTCTAGTTTGGGACTATAACAGCTAAAGCTGCTATGAGCATTTGTGTGTAAATCTTTATATGGATACATGCCTTGCTTTCTCATGGATAACAAGAATATCCGATATTTCTTTTAGATAAATATGTAATCTGTCAGTGGCCTATGTAAACTTGCACAATACCACTGATTACTGTAGTTTTATAAAAATTCATGAAATCAAGTAGTATAAATTTTCGTACTTTGTTCTTTTTTTCTGTTTTGGTTAATGTAGCTTCCTTCCAAACTACGTTGAATCTATACATCAATTTGAGGGAAATTGGAATTCTAACAGTATTGAGGTTTTCAATTCATGAAAACTGTATCTCTCTCGATTTATTATAACATCTCAGCAGTATTTGTTTTTAACATGTTGATCTTGCACACTTAAAAGATCTGTGTATCCATTTCATATTTTTGTGCCACTCTGTAAAGTACCTTTTATTTCAATTTCTAATTGTTCATACAAAAATAATTTTTAGTGTTGACTTTAAATTCTGAAACATTTTTGTTTAGTTATTAGTTGTGTCTTTTAAAATAAATTTTATTGAACTTTCTATGTAATAATATGATTTACTAAAAAACAGTTCTTTGTTTCTTTTTTTTCCCCTAGGTTACAGTCAGTATTTATTTCACAGAATTAATAGTCTTAGGAATGCAGATATAAAGCATATGGACACAATGATAACTTAGAATCAATGCTACTCTCTTAGGACTTAAAATCTGGATTTTATTATGCTCCATTATATTACATGCTCCATGAATAATATGTAGAATAAAAAGTCTAATAAAAATGATATATATCCCCCCAAAATATAGCTTGATGAGAAATCCATGTTAAATAAAAATCTTTGAAGAATATACCCAAATACCATTGACGTCAAATATTATCTTGGCATAAAATCTAGAAGGGCAAAACTAAACAGCAACAAAACTTGAACATGACAAAACAAAACCACCAACATACTCTGTATTGCACAGAGTGAAAGACCGACATGAAGTGTCTTGAGCCAGCAAGTCACCTCTAGGGGCTTCAGCAGCAGTGACATAATGTACAATTCAGTTCCTGCCCCCTACACAAGATGCAGGGCAGGGAGGTAGTGTGGGGTTGCTGTTGGAGAAGCATTCAGTTTACAACTGTGCCGCCCCTTGCTATTCTTTTATCCCCAGTTAATTATTATCTGCATATAATATAAGTCTGCTAGACCATAGCTTTCAGGGCAGATGCCTTGAAAGTTCTTAGGGAGGTTAAACAAATAGTGTAGCCTAAAGCCTCCTCTGTAACAAACATGCACAGTGGACCCAAAGTAGGAGTGAGTGATGGGGCTGGAAGGACGTGTGGACTGTCTAGCCTTTAAAAGCACCTTGCCCCAAACAGATTCCAGTTATAATGCAGTGGGACCATGGGCTTTCATCCACTCTAGAAACAAAGAGAAAGCTACTAAATGTACTAAATGGCATAATTTGTTTTTTTGACTGGGCAGAGATTAGCGGTACCTACAGTTTTACCAGAATTGTTTTTAGGTCTCCAGGTGGAGACTAAAAACAGTTCTTTATTTCTTTTTAAAATTATCTTTAAGTACTTTTACAGAAGAGTTGCTAACAAAGCAGTTTATGAATTTATGAATACAGTTTATGAATATGATATTTTGGATCAATGTCACTTCTTTCAGTATTCTTACCCATACCTCCCCTACCCTCACTCTTCTTAACTTTGTATGATACCCATTGGATTTTTGTCTGCTTTTCCCCCTCTTCTCTTATTCATTTGTCTAACCTTTTTCCCTTTGATCCCACCCCATCCTTTTCAAGTACCCTCTTCCTGCTGTTTGATTTTGCTGACCTCTGATTTGGGCTTTCTAAGAATTACACTATTTGAGATCACCCTTTAATCTACCATATTTCAACTAATACATTTGTATACACTTGCAGGCTACGTCTCGTTGTTTTTCTTAATTGCACTGGCTAACATCTATAGTACAGAGTTGCTAGGAAATGGTGAGAATAGATATCGTTGCCTTATTCCTCATCTCTGAAGGGATACTCAGTTTTTTTTAAAGTTAGGAATTGATGAGGTAATTTTAACTAGGCTTTATTATAAGAAATGAAAAAATACATTTAAGGCAGTTAATAAAAAAGGAAGATTTGAGATCATTCTTTTGTTTAAATAACCTTTTATAACTTCAAAAATAACTTCTTAATGTATTGTGAGGTCCATGTAGTTTCTTGTAGGGGTTTGTGGTGGTTGTTGCTTCACATTTGTTTCTTGCTTACATGAATTGTAAATTTAAACTAATGCACATAATACATATGTTTTGAAAAATGAGGACTTCTAGAGTAGACCTAATCTGAACAGGGCATTTGAGGCATTTAATACTAAGGATGTTTAGCTGCAATATCAATGAGAAATTTTCTCTTAGTATAGTATCATCTCTTTAAGTACTTCCAATAATTTAACCTAGGTAAATACTCTCAAAAAATTCTATAATTAGCTGGGCACCAGTGGCTCATGCCTATAATTCTAGCTATTCAGGAGGCTGAGATCAAAAGTTTGCAGTTCAAAGCAAGCCTGGGCAGGAAAGTCTGTGAGACTCTTATCTACAATAAACTACCAAAAAGCTGGAAGTGGAGCTTGAGCCTTGAGCAAAAGAAACACTGGGACAGTGCTAAGATACTAATTCTGTAATTAGTATCTTAAATTCTGGACTCTAAAGAAATTTTCTGATTCCTTAAGTAATGACAAGCCTTCAGGCAAAATTTTCTCCTCAATCTTTAATGTCTCTAGTGCACAAGTCTTATTGGCAGGAGTCTCTTCATAAACTTTGGTCACTATCCTATTCACTGAATTCAGCAGTAGATTTAGAAATCCTCAGAGGTACCAGGCAGGAACATTTCTGACAACCCAATTCTTTTTCAGTCCAATCATTTGGAAAAATTCTGTTTGTCCTTATTAGAACTGAAAATTACTAAAAATAACTGATATATTTAGGGATAGATATTTTTGTGTATGGATATGAGTTACATGTTATCTCAAAAGCATAATTCACTATGTGTATGAAGTTAATTCTTTCATTCTCCTGATTCATTAACATAACATTTTTATCTGGGACATTTCTAATAAGTGCAGTGACCAAGGTCAGTCTTTTCTGCTTGATTAATTAGCTCTGTTGAATAGAGAAGCCTATCATTTTAGGTTGCCTTCTTCCTTTCATCATTACTATAGTAATGGTTTCTCTCACTCACTATGAAAGATTCCTTACCTTTATTAATTGTTGAAGATCTTTCCTAATTGCAATATCTTTAAACCTACCTAATTGGAATACTTAAGGTTTCATTGGAAAACATTTTTTTTTAATTATAGTTTGAAGCTGGGCATTGGCGGCTCATGCCTGTAATCTTACCTACTTAAGAGGCTGAGATCTGAGGATCACAGTTCAAATCCAGCCTTGGCAGGAATGTTTGTGAGACTCTTATTTCCAATAAACTACCCAGAAAAAGTCCAAAGTGGTGCTATGGCTCAAGTGGTAGAGCGCTAGCCTTGAGCAAAGGCAGCTCAGGGCCAGTGGCTAGGCTCTGAATTAAAGCCCTAGTACTGGCAAAAAGAACCCCTAAAAATTAAAGCTAAATACGATAGCTTAAATACTTGTGATTAGGTTGGAAATTCAAGTTTCATTTCTTACTTCTCGTTGAGCCTGACTTCTAGCGAGCATGAAATATCAGTATTTGTTATATTAATTTTTCTTCCATTGAACTAAATGTAATAATGTACTGCATATCATAAAGATATGAGTAATAACCTTTAAAATAGAGATTTTTCTTTTTGCTTTGCTTAAGAGCATATTGGTTGTTGATTTTTAAAAATAAATCTGGATATGTAATTGCTTACTGGAATCTTCAGGAAAATCCTTATTTATTACTATCTCAGGACTTAGTAAGTTCCTCAGTATGGATAGATTGGTATTATAGGCTGTATTTGCTAAAGAAATATTTTTACAATTGTATTTCTGAAAAGGATCTCAAGTTTATAAAGACCAGAGAGAAAAAGGGATGCTTGAGCAAAGAAATGTTCAATAAGTTCAGAAATTTCCTTATAGTATCCTAGTAAATATCTATACTATTAGCACATGGGACGATACAACCACCTTTCCAACTTAACACATACACATACACATATTTTATTATTCCTATTCATATTTTACTTTTCTAACCAAGCCCTAAATAAAGATAAATGTATAAACATGGGAGTTATATTGGTGCATCTT